ACTCGAAAGTCGCGCCGAGACAGAGAAGGAAGGCAGAAGGCTTTCCCGGAAGGCATTACAATGGCCGTGCTATCTACGGCCGGACAGCTATACGTACCTTTTTACGGCACTACGGAACGGGATGACGGGACGGGATGCGGAACGGCACGGGCGCAACGTAAGCAAACAGTGCTGGAGAAAAGCAAACAACGGAAAGTGAGAAGTGCCACAAAAACGGCAGCAAATGGCTGCCACTCGCAGTTGCAATAGCACAAGCACACCCATGGCCAAAGCACTAGCACTACCAATGGCAATAGCAATGGAAATGGAAATGAAAATGAAAATGGCAGCATCGGCGGGCGACAAACAAAGGCAACAAGCAAAAGTCGCCAAAAAGCCGGGTGGACCGTGGGGCGTGGCAGGGTGGGATGAATAAACGTAACAAACTTGGTGGGTCAAATATACACAGCGGAAATAATGTCGAACATTCAATAGGGCTAGTTTCTGAAACCCCATTTTTAGTGTTCAGTAAACTATCACTACTAAATCAGTGAAGAAATTAACTTGAAGATTAACTTGGTACAATACGATAGTCAAGCCCAACGAGTCCCAAAATGGTGGAGCTCAATGATTTGGTTCAGAACAATTCTGTCACGAACCAGTTCTCTTCACTTAATTTTAAGTTCTTGATGTTGTATATTAGGACCGCTTATAGAAGTTATACTCATAGGAAACAATGTCAAGATCTAATGTAAGTGTACATTTGGAAAGGGGCGATATATCGATGCAACGCTGGTGTTTTCAGGACAGTAAATCAATCAAATTCAATTAGCACAATCTTTAAGGGGGCAATAAAAGTACAACTTTTATAGTTTCCTATGGTTCACTTAAAGAACATTATTTGGCCAGAGTGTTGGCCCTACTTCATGCCATACTCTCGGTTCTGTTCGGAGTGGTCCGGTTAGTTTTGGTCTCCATTTGATGGCGGCTCTTTGGTTTCGTTTGGTTTGGTTTGGTTTTCTGTTTTCTTTTTTCATTTTGCTGCTTTCTGTTTTCTGCTTCTTGTTCTGGTCATAGGATGGTATTTTTTTCGCCCCTTTGTTGGCGCTTTGAAAGGCAAAGGCAAAGGCAAAGGCAAAGGCACTAGTAACCAGTAACCAGTAACCAGCAACCAGTACCGGTAACCACCGCCTGGCAAAACCACCTTGTGACCGAGCCAACTGCCTCAATTTGCATATGGAATTTATGCTTTTGATGGCGCTGGCGACGCCGGCCAAAGTCAACTGCATGTTAATGAAAGCCGAATGCATAAGAAAGCCCCTTTCCCCTTTCACCCTTTGCCCGTTTCCCTTTTCCATTTTCCATTTAACATTTTCCACCCAGCATCCAAGGAAAGCCCCCGTGCAAACAGCCGCCCCGGCACCCCTGCCATCGCGGATGTTTTCATGCCGCCGTGCATTTTTGAAAAGCGAAAAGTTCAAGGATTGCTGCAGAGACGTCGTGCGCTTAGATTCTGTGCAGATTTCGGTGCCCCGCAGTGGCCAGGTAACCCCAAAAGGCAACAATCGGCACAGCGGCAACACGAGCGCCGCAGCAACATGAGCACAGCAGCAACATCAGCACAGCAGCAGCACCAACATAGTGCCCAAAGCTGAACTACATTAAACACAAAGCTGTGCTTTCGGGAACAGCGAACTATGACTCAACCAGAAATTATTTAAAAACCTGGTAAACTGGCCGTTAATTAAGTCAGGAAATAAGAAAAGTTTTCAAAATAAATTTTCTCATTTTTATAAGATTTGTTTTTTTAGCAAAAAATTAGAAAAAAAAAAAACGTTTTCAGTTTTAAATACCGAAGAATGGGAAACTTTATTACGAGCTCATGCTTTGACAAAAATATGTTTTTTTCTGGTTGGAAAATCTGTTGCTAATGACCACTTTTTGACCTAAAGCTCATAGAAGCATTTTTTTTTGGATAGGTGAGTTTTTTAACTCAGGTTAACATTTTCTACCGCATTTTTATACAATTTTTGCATCTTATTGTTATAATGTTTTTTTTTTGCATGATAGGACCAAAAATACATCTTTTCTGGTTTGAATGTCAGTTGATTTTGATTTTTTTGACAAGCTCCATTCCATATTCTGACTACTATTATCTTTTTTTTGGTTAGAATATGAAGTTGAGTTTTTTTATTCTTATTATTGGTTTGCCAAGCCTGGAAACGGATGTTCAGAATACGATTTAGCATATAATGCACACTCATTACACACCTCTTTTACAAGAGTCATGCCCATAGAAGGAATACAGTGGTTGAACAGAACATTGTGTTGGTGTTGAGTAGAACACAAAGAAGACCTTTGTTGAAATTAGCCCAAGGCTCTGTCTCTGGGCTCTGGCTAAAAATGCCAAGGAACGTGTCGCCGTTAGTCCGCAAGAAATGCCAAAGTTGAACCCATCGATTCTTGGCAGTAAATCTTAAAATGTAGAACACTTCTTGAGATGACCACGCTGACATTTATGGGGGTTTGCTGGCTGGTCTTGTTCAATCCACCAGTCACTCCATCTGTATCCAATCCAGAGCAACGCTAGAAAAGATCAAAGATCTAAGGCCTCCCCCAACATGGTGCCTTTCACCTGCAACTTGCAACTTGCAACTTGCAACCTGCGACTAGCAACTGGTGAGGCTGTCATAACTTGTGCTCTTTGTTTTTCCCAGTGTCAACTTTGAAATGTAACGGGCTCTGGTGGGGAAGCCATTCGTCACGTGGCTCGTCGTTCGGCTCGCTGCACGACAAACATCCAATTAAGCTATAAAAATCTTAATTTAATTATTTGCCACACGAACAAAGCCGCAGAACGAACGGACGAGCGCTGGATGATGGAGATTGGGGATTGGGGATTGGAGATGGGGTTTGCCGCTGAAGTTGGCTTTTAGAAGATGGAAAGATGGAGTTTGGGGGCTCGCAAAGGAGCCAACGCTAGGCCACCGCATTTGCCATTCACATTCACATTCACATCCCCGTTCGCAGTCGCATTTGCAGTTTGGAAAACGAGTGCAGCGGCGATATGACGACAACGATTTATGGTGGCCGGTTTTTCTTCATTTGGGCGCTGCTCCGAGCACGGAGCACCGAGCGCCGAGCAAAGGCAAAAAGCACAGAAATCAAAAAGCAAACTGCAAAAAGCAAGAGCACGAGCAGCCAAGCAAACGAGCAACAAGGCAGCAGGCAGGCAGGCAGCATGCATTTTTCATGAATTAGTTCACATATAAAAGTCAAATGCAGACCCAGAGTTGGAAAACGGGCCAAAGAGGGGCGGACGGCCAAAAAGGGGGGCTGCCAAACACTGGAGTTGGAGGCTGGAGGCGCATAAACAGATTTTGTGGTCGTAGCACACTCCGAGAAAAAAGGCGACAGCACACACTACATCCCACAACAAGAAACGGCAAAAATAGTAAAATAAAATCGAGACCAGCCAAAAAATAGAGAGGGAAATTGAAAGGAGTTTTTGAAGAGCTGAAGCCGACTTACAATAGCGGCCATACAAGTAGGAACCGAACTTCAGCCTCACACAAAAAATGAACTAACATTGCGATGTAAATTTGAAGTCAACTCAAGTTTTCTTCGAATTACATGGATCCTTAGACATTAATGCAAGTTTACTACATTTATGTGAGAATATTATCTTTTTATTTATTTTAATAATAATATAATTCACTTCCAACTCTAGCACCTGCTTTTGTTTACTTTTCACTGCATAATTAATGAAATAAAAGCAGCTCTTCCGTTATTTTTTCTAGCCCATAAATTGTATGGATGCCTGAGTGTTTTCCAGGACTCAAGTCGATGGAATTTGGTTAACATTTCAGGCAGAGATAATGGGAGCCGATAATGCGAATCACCCCGGGGCGAAAAGTGTGGAAAATCCTTCTTTTCTTGTTGTTGTTTGGATGAAAGGTCTTAGCCGTGGCGAAATCGAAATCAAAGCCAAACTGCCTGACTACTGACCCAAAAAACGAGAAATCAACCTGGATCCCGGTGGGTTCTGGGTTCCAGGTTCCAAAACCAGAAAACCAAAAGCCCAGTCAGCAGGATAAAGCGAAAACGTTTAATGTGAGCCTGTTGTTTGCCGTTGTTGGTTGGTTGTTTGTTGTTTGTTCGTTTGTTTGTTTGCTTGTTGTTGTTGCTGGCATGCCCGTTGGCCATTTCATGGAGCCAGCCACTTGATACAACAACAGAACTGGGCTCGGAAAATGGGGAAAAGTGGGCGGGGGGAAATGGGAGGGGAGGCTGAAAGCAGCATTTCGTTTGATTCTAGGGGCCAAGATGGCAGGGGGTACTAGTACGAGTATGAGTGCACGGTGAACGGAACATTGAGCAAGTTAAAATATAATAAATAGGCTTAAACACACCAACATATGCCTGAGTGTGCTTTACCTTTTTTGTGGCAAGCACCCCGGTAAGAAGAAGTTGTAACACATTTAAATCTGAAATGTGACTGCCTATAAGGTACTGAAATGTGAAATTTTAGTTCTGAAGAACCTGTTCGAGTTGAAAATCAGGCTATCCACATAACCAAATACACTTATTCAATGCAGTTTGAGTTAATTATTAAACGTATGAACTAAAAGCTATGTAAGCAATGGTTTCTTGAAAGGCTAATTCCATCATAAAGAGATGTTCCACTATTATCAGGACAGAACAATAATACTAATCATCAAGATAACTGAGATGATGGGTGGGATTACAAAAAACCTTGGACCCCTTTTATATTTAACTTGGAGTTCGTAGAACCATTCCCTACTTAGGCTTGCGTTCCATTGGCGATGATAAGATTACTACAAGATCGTCGCAAGTAAATGCAACAATTTCGTCGCCTGGTCAAGTGGAATAATTTCGGGGGCATCTACGATTTCTGTCGACGACATCTTCTCGATTTTCCCCGGGAAACGTGAAGGGGAGCGGGGGGCAGTACCCTACTCAATTTCAGCCTGCGCCCAATTGGGCCGGCAAAAGCTCACCTGATGGACGCCAGGTGCCACGGAGGCGGATGAATTCTGGGCCAACTGGCCGTCTGATGTTGCTGCTGTGGCGCTTGCTGGTCCGATGTGGTGCTGCAAGAAAGAAGAGTGCACAATGTCGTTGAGTGGCTCGCAGGAAATCCAATGTAGACTTTGTTTAAAGGCACTTGAAGCCAAAGGAAACACTCGAAGAAGCAGGAGCCGAAAGGTCACAGACTCCCCGAAAACATTTCCCCTGGCTTGGGGTTTACCTCTAAGCTTATTAATGCTATTTGCCCCGTGTCTCGAGTGGAGGGAAGGAAAAAGCAAAAAGGGGTATATATAGTATATGAAATTGAAAATACAATGCTCCACAGCAGCAACGAGCGCATATGCAATGGGGGACATAAGGGCCAAAGGGCAGGCTCAGGCGTGAAAAGGCCCTAGATATGCACACTACATATATGTAGGTGTGTATATGCGTACGAATGTATAGATACATGCGGGAATGTGCGGTTCAAGGCTGCCACTACCTTCTGTTTGTTGGCCCACTTTTCAGGGTGCGTTCCCCCAACAAAAGTGAAAGTAAATTATTTAAAACAATTGCAATTGGCGTTGATAACAAGTGAACTGCCGCACTGTCGCTGTTTCTCATAAGTTTTTCTCCTGCTGCTGCTGGCTGCAAAAGTGGGTGGCTGTCAGTTGCCTTATCGCCCCGAATCCCCCATATTGCAGTCACGCCCCAAGGTCGAAAGATGGCATTATGGTTCACCAGCAGATGGGAGCTGAAGATACCACACCATATATCATATTTATTGGTTTGGAAACCCGTAAAAACCAAAGCATTGCTTATATAACGAAGGTTGCGACAAGGTAAAATATTAATATTTTAGTTACAGTACTTCAAAGATTTTCGTTTAAGAAAATGGATCACAAGTATATGGTCCAAATGAAATCAAATAAAAATGATTACTTAATATCTCGAATTAAAAGATAGGCATATATTTGCAGACCCCTTCCTAAACATCAATTCGATATTCTTCAGATATTTTCGGGCTTAGCTAACCAAAAATACTCCACTCCATCAATTTGTGGGTTTAGCCCTGGCACAACCACTGATTTATTCGGCCAGATGGAACTTAATTGAAAGATTCCTGCTGGCCGGCCTCTCCCGCTTCCCAGTTCTTAGTTCTCAGCTGGCTGTCCGCTTTGATTAATGATGGTCGACAAGTGCAACAACGGCCACGGCCACGCCCCCTCTTTTGGCCCACTGTCCTGCGAGCAGAGCCAAAACAAAATGTCCGTCAGCTGGATGTCAGTGTGTCAGGCAGAAGGAGCAGAGCAGGCCAAAAAAGGGATAAAAAAGGAGAAAAGCAGCTTAGCTGGATTGCAGATTGCTCATACGCAGCGTGGTCCCCTTGAGCCAAAATGAAGTTGCTTGCGGTAGTTGCTATTTGCTAGATGGTAGATGGTAGCTGCTGGTTTGGAACAGTTGACAGCGAGGCAGCATCATGATTTATGTCGTTTTATTTAATTTTAATTGAAAAACTTGCACACGACGACAAACAGGCGAAAAACCAAACCAGCACCCTTCACCCAGCCCAGTCAAATATAATTAAAATAGCATTTGTTCGCCATACGGCCCCCTTTTTTGGCCACCTATTTTCCACCATCTTGCTTTGGCACCAGCAATCTGCAGCCACCGAGTCCTGGAAATGCAAATAAATAACAAGACAAAGGCTCAAATGCAAATAGAATGACTTTATTAAATGGTCGGAGGAAAGGAGGACTCAGAATTGTTTATAAACTTCACAGTTGGCAAATAATAAAGACACGAGGCAGGGCATATTAAAACAGGGGAGGCGGGACTCGACTTTTCAGGGGTCGTCGCAAGAAGTAAAGCCGTGTCTAACAAGCCACGCGACCTCTTCTTTCTGATTTTTCTCCTCTTTTTTGTTGTATTATGACAAATGCAAATGACACACTCGAAAAAGGGGCTTGTAGAGCGGAAAATATGAACTGCGGAGAGTGGGCGCAGTCTATGAACAAGACATTACAACGGCAATGGCCATAATAATACAACAACCAACAGCCACAAGAACCAGTCGAAAGCCGCACAGTGGCACGAATCACGAATCGTAGAGTAGCAAGTGACCAACTTAAGGGGGGGAAAATCAAAAGAGTTGAGGGAAAACCGAAACGTCTGGGGAAAATTTCTGCAGCCCTCGCTGGGGATTTTCCCCGGACCCTCTCCCACTCTCCAGATCCTTATTTCTTGGCACACGGCCCACGGTGCGGCAGTTGCAGAAAAAAATATCTTATATATATTTAAGGGGCAGGGGCAGAGAGTTGGCAACCAGAAAAACTGCCGCCAACGCCATAAATCATGCGGCCAGCAGCAAAAGCAACAACGTCTGACAACCAGCAACAGAAATGTAACAAAAAAGTATAAACATAAAAAAAGGGAAATTAAATAACAATAACAAGGTTATTCGGCGAGTGTTGCTGGCGTTGCCGCGATAACGCTTTTGCTTTTGCCCTGCTTTGCTTTTCGTTGCTTTTGCTTTTGCTTTAGCCAACTAAGTGCAGCCGGGCAACATGGAAAACATTTCGAGTGTGCAGCAAATTGAGTGTTTTTATTGCATTAACATAAATAAATTAGAATGCCGGGGAATGGTCTTTGGCATGTTGCTGCTGACTCACAGCGCGTGTTTCCAGCCAGATCAGGCAGATATATATATACATAGATATATCTACATGTACAGAAAAGGTTTATAAATATAGGGTACACCAACTTGTTGCTACTGGTTTTCGAGGGGTGCTATGTTTCTGGCAGTGGCAGTATACTCAGGTTCAGCACGTTGGCAACGCAGCCACTTATGTTGTTGCCAGTGTCCAATGGCAACGACATCTGAATCGCAGGCAAGGAAAGCACGTTGCCGCGTGCCGCATTCAAATGAAAGTTGCATAGCCCTGGACGGAATAAAAGTCATCATAGTATCGGCACCAAAAATATATTAGAGATATGTAAACAAAAATGATTGCAAATTCATGTTCATTATTCCAGGTTTTTGATTAAAAATGGAATGTAAATGGAAGTGCACATATCGATTTAATCGATCTTCGGCTTGAATTACATTCATCGATAGTATCGATGGTGCTTTCGATTGTCATTTTATTGTCGATTGTGCTTTGAACTGTAATGACAGACTTTGCAATGACAGCTGCTGCTGTCAGGTCCTTTGATATTTCTGCTCCTTGAACAACACTGACCGCAACATTGCAGGGACAGCCATAGCAACATCAACATCCAGTGCCTGCTGGCAAATGACAAAACAAAGCTTTAAGCTGTTATCCCTTTTAGCCAGTGTCAATAAAACGAAATTAAGAACTTTAAATGGCGAGGCGAAAGACAATTTAATCAAGCCAACTGCAAATGAATGCCCAGAGCAGCAGCAGAAGCAGTAGCAGCAGCATTTGCATGCCAGCACAGCAGCAACAACAACAGCAGCAACAGAAACCGCAGCAACACCAACTGCAGCAGCAGCAGCAGCAACAGGAGACGCAGAAGCAGAAACAATCAAAAAGTTTTTAAAACAAATTAAAACTTGACGACAAGAACAAGAAAAGGGAAAAGGAGCAGCTGGAAATGCAATGGCTTTCTTTAAATTTATTATGCGGTCAATTGCAAGATGTCCAAAAAACGAGTGACCAAAACAGAGAAAGCTGCAGCTTCATTAGCCGTCCAGCAAGAACGCAAAAGTTAGCCCAAGGAACTTTGGCTTCGTCTAACGCTTAACTGTTTACTTAATTTGTTTGGGCCATTAATAAAACGCAAACCATTCAAGGTATTTGCTGGTCAAACCAAAGTTACAGTTTATCAAAAATAGGTTATAGCCTTTAGGAAATAACTTTACATCACATTTACATAATAAATTATGTGTTAAAGTTCACCCTTCAGTGTACTAAATAAATAACAAACTATTTTTACAATGAATGGTTTTACCTAATTTGTAAAAATCAATTTTAAAAAAGCAAAAGCAAATTAAATAACCCAGTTGTCAGTCAGAGAAAGCAAGAAGTTTCTTGAAAATTAATATATTTGAACCGGAGATTTAATTGAAAATGCAATTGTTATTTATCGATGCAATTTATCCCAGTTATTAAGCACTTGAAACAAAAGTTATGCTAAACTTGTGCAAGTTTTCTCAATTTAAATAAACACTTTCAATGTTCATTCAGTAGTTTTTGCTCTTGGAAAATGTTCACAGTTAATCGTAAATTTAAATTGAATGGCAGACGCCCGTTTTGGAGTCGGCCACGCCCCCTCAGAAACGCAATCAAACGCGATGAAAACTTGCAACACACAAAAAGCGGCGAAAACTTTCGGCGAAAGGCGGAGGGAAATTGCTCGGCTGCAATTGCAAACAAACTTAAATCGAATTCATGACAAATGATGCGCGAATTTTTCATTCGCCTTTGAGAGGAGCTGCACAAAAAATAAACGAGAATCATCAAGAGTGCTCGAGGTAGAAGGATGGTACGAAAAATCAACATTGGAAAGACCAAAAATAATCCATCGGGCCGACGACGAAGTCAAGGTTATGTCTAGGTTCAATTACCCCTTTTTTCGTATACCTTTCCTCGCTTCTGGTCTTCTTCTTTTTGCCTTCTTTATTATGGTCTTTTTACTGTCTGCGCTGGTCAAAAAGGTTAAAGCCAAATTAGAAAACAAAGTCTTATGCTTGAGTGCGCAGTCAAGGGTGCTTCTTCTTGCCTCTTCCGCTTCTTCCTCTTCCACGCCTCTTTGGGCAGACTGACCATGATGATGATAAGTTCGCCCGCCTGGTCACACTCGAGATGTAATTAGAGTGCAGCCGGATGCATCCGCAAAGCATGGAGAATGTGGGAAAGGCAAGCCATTACAAACTATGTGATGGGCGTCTGTCAGTATAGTAAGCTGTTATACTGAGAATTCATACACAAAATTAAATACCCATCCCAACCCATCGACCCATCTCCATTGGTTCCAAGAACTAGCAAACAAATGAATGAATGGCAAATTCATGAGTTGCCCACAACCACCGGACATCTGGAAATTGTTGTCCAACAGA